ACTCTAATTGATGAAATATTTTTCTCTTAATATTTTTGAAAGAAAATATACAATTGATATAATAAGAATAGTTTATTGAGAATGTACTCACAAAAAGATTGTATGGTATGTTATTGACAAGCATTTAATTGGAATCCAGAAAATTATATAGACCGTAAAAATAGTATTTTTCCTGCGTTCATGTTCCACCCAAATCAACGTCATGTGGTCTGCTTGTACATGAATTAATAGCAAGCTTGTATTTGCAAATAATATAACATATTAACTACTATATAATATTAATTTAAAATCATTCGATTTTTTTATGCTACTTTTTCAAAAACTTATTATAGATTATATATCAACACAAATTTATCGCAACGAAACAGTATTTTTCGTAAATTAAAGATTGAAGAAATTAATAAAATTATGATAAATTAATAAAAAAAATAATAAAAAAATTTTTTCAATATATATACAAATACATTTGTATATAATATATTTTTAATAAAAATCATATCATATTTTCTACTTTATTGTATTTCGTAGCATTCATCGAATTGAATAATGCTTTTCATACGAGACAGGATAGAACGCGCATCATTATACAAGCAACGGAGATGTGAAAGGAATTGGCGAGCGTTCGAAAGAGCCCACCTGTTGCAACCGCCATACTCTCTACTAGTTTAACACGGTGATCAACGCACGACCCTATTCGAGTTCTATAAATTTTCATGGAGGAAAATGCTTTACAAAGCAACTATTAAACTGGACTTGTACCTGATGAATGAACACGAAGAAACACGAAAAGAGAGAAAAAGAAATTATGAAAAAGTTTAAATTTATATGTAAATTAAGATTAATCTAAAAGTTCATTTCTATATTAATAGAGTTGTTAAAAACTAACCTAACTTAACATCAGTTTATGATATCAAAATATACGGAATCTGATACATCATATTTTAACCAATTCGATCATTTTATCTATGTATAGTGATTTAATACGTAATATATATAATATGCATGATGATCGAATAAAAACTATATTCAGTTATCGACAGATAATATTAGATCGGAGACTGTGACAATTTACGTGCACACAGCCAACGACACTTGTAGTGAAGCACCTTTGTAATTTCCATGGGTTCCGAAACAACGCTTAACAATAGGTTCGCGATACGGATAGGGCCTCTCGTCAAACAAAAAGGCCACTTTGGTTCCGAGTGGACGTCTGTGCTTTTTTTGTCTTTAAACACCACCTGTTCGTGGGAAACATTATTGACACCATCATGAAAATCTTACATTAACGAATCCGTAGTAACTGAATTATGAACTTAATATAATCGAAAAGAGTGTGCGTGAAAATAATAGAACATCGATTTTTTGTTAATACAATGGAAATTTTGTGGCATATGGAAATACTCGAATAACAATCAGAAAACAAAACAATTAAAAATATTCTCATAAACGTTTTTATTTAATCTTGTTTAAATTAGGTTATATACGTTTAATCTATTTAATATGGACTTATTTAATTTTTTATTTTATCTTTCATTTAAATTTGAAAACATTTTTACATTTTATAATCTTTTAGCGATTAATGATACATTTGAAATAAAATAAAATCGTTTTCAAAATACATAGATATCGGATAAAGGTAATCGCAACAATTTTATTTTTCCTATGGGTAATATAAGAATATTGAGAGAGTGAATCGAATCGATTGAATTACCACGAGAATTCTCGAATGATGTCCGATCGTGTATTCAAGCCATGAATTCGATTAAGCATTGCGTGGCCCCACGATGAACCGTTTATCGTGTCGATTTAGGGATTTCGTGTCCTCGTTGCGTACATGGTAAGTTTGTATATCTGAACATGTACCATAAGGCAACATGTTATAGAATTTACTCGTTCCATATCAAATTTACTTCTTCCTCTCAGCCTACCATTTACTTTGATATATCCATCGTATCTATATAATATATCTATATATTCTAATAATCGCAAGTTCATTTCACAATATTATTACAATTAATTAACAACAATTATATTTATTACATTATAAGAATTGAAATTGTTGTGTAACAATTTAATTTTTCTAATTGATGTAATATATTTTATTCTATTTTTAACCATCATGTCTTTTATAATTCTTATATAATTTTTTATATAAAAGATCATCGATATCATTCGTTTGTGGATAAATAAATATAGGCATTTATTTTTTATTCAATGTATTCGAATATTTTCTATATCCATTTGATGTTTTACACATAATGCTTCATAATTCGAGCATGTATGTGTTTAGTTACATGTATCCTCGAAGGATTCCGGTTAACTGCGAAGCTTCGCATGCCCCGATGTAACCTAATCTCGATACGAATAGGTATCCTATGCGACTTAATTAGCTAAGTATGCCCGCGGCGGGACATTATTACACCACATTTTACTACCCACCAGGCAATAATTCCATCCCTTTCCTTTAACCTCTTCGTCCAACGTAGCCAGGAGTAAATGCTCGTGGCCCGAAAGGGTGCCACAGAATTTCGAGTCACGCTAAGAAATGGAATAGACGTTATTGATACGAACTATTTTCAATACGAACGCATCTGGACATTTTTCCTTCTTTCTTTTTTGATTCGGCCAGACATAATATTTTAACAAAAATAACAATGGGAAAGAATGAAGTTATTATTTTTTCTGTAGACAAAGTGTTTTTAATTTGAATAGTAATAGAATAAATTGCACTGGCTAAGATATCACTGTTTATTTGAACAATTATTTTGAATAGTTTGTCTGAGGGGATAAGTTATTAAACAACACAGGTTATTAAAGATTAGGTTAGAAAAATAAAAAATATGGAAAACTGAGATGAAAAGCCAAAGAGAATAAGATCGTTGAATAAGTTAGAGAATTAGGTTAGAAAGTTAAGTCAAAGAGGACAATGATTAAGTTAGGTTAGGTTATAAATATCTAAACACGAAGTATTTGAAAATATTATTTTATTTAAACTATTATTCAAAATAATAAAATAATATTATATGTATTCTATAAAATTCTTTAAGCATTGCAAGTAATTTGAAAACAATATAACATCTTATTTTATCTTTGTGTCAATGGAATAAAAAATAACCTGCCAAAACCATTTATCCTCTAACGATTACTATTTTAATCGAAATCTATAAATTTATTGTTTGTCATGGCTGAATAATATCTAAAAATTAATTTCATTTGAATCCTATAAATTGTATACTGTGAATCAATAAATAAAATCGATTTGAATAAATAGAAAATGAAATACGTTGATATATTATTAACCAATCAATTTTTGTATCTGTTCGGTTCCGGTTCTCACAAATTGGATGTACGATAGAAGAAAAAAGTTTTAACTTAAGTATATTTCTTTATATAATATTATTATTTATCATCACAATATCTTTTGAATTTCATTTTTTTAATGGATTCCTATTTTAATTTTTAAAACTATTGGAAGTATATATAACTGTTCATAAAACAATTACTTAATTTGAAATTGTGAACATCATAGATATCTAATATTAGATAAAACAGTTTATGAAATTTTTATATTTTTTTAAAATATATCACATGATTTCATTATACCATTTAAATATGAAGTACATTTTTTTTAATAATTTTTCTTCAATAATTTAATAAAAATATTGGCTAGATTTAGTCACTGTTTTTAACGTAGGTATCATATAAAAATAACTGAATTGACCAATTGCTTAGAATCACGCTACTGATTTATGATAATATGCATACTGTTGATTATCAACGCTGGAGTAACCAAGCAAATAAGAAATATCACATATATGCACAATGAATATAAAATTGAAATAATATTGAACATTATTAATAAGGATTACATAAATTTTAAATTCCATTTTTCAATTTAATTCTTATCTATAAATTATTAAATTAAATATAGTTATAATGATCTAAGTATATAATAGATATCTTTAAATTTAGACATTTTCTATTTCTTGTATATTTTTGCATTCGATAATTTTCTTTTTTTCAATATTTAATATATTATAGATATAAAACTAATCATTAATTCAACATACAATCTTGAAATGCAACATGTTTTGACAATGCGGGCGATATTGGTATTCACGGTCGAATTACAATCTAAGGTCCTTTTACATTGCCAAACCCCTATTTTATTCATGGACATATTATAATGATTATCGTGACCTTCCTTGTAGCTTACATACTTTTTTTTACATTCTTAAAAATTCTTTACATCGTTATATATTTTTAAAATCTATCCTTGAAGAAATGAGAAGAATTTATGATGATAATTTATATAAATATATATTTATTATACCTAACGCGAAAAATTAAAGAAATATCAATCGAAGTATTAAATCTTTTATATAAAAGAATTTTATTAATTTATTATCTTCGTTTAATTTATTATCTTATTATTATAAAGTATAAAATTAAATGAAGAATAATTTCAAAGCAGAATAGCAAACAGAAATTTTCCATACTTTATTAAACTTATGTTTCTAAAATATTCTATTTATAAAAATATGAATTTAAAATATCCAAAGTATTTACTATTAAGATAAATTGAATAATTTGTATTTACTATTAAAATAAATTAAACGATTATTTCAAAAGAACAATTGTAGAAAAGAGATGCACGCACAGAGCATGACCACTATAGAAATTGCACGTGGTACGTATCAAACGCATGCGTACAAAAGATCTCCCGACTTCACTGTAATAATGTTGCAGTGGGTTAATACTAGACTCACATGCACATGCGCGCGCTTAGGGGGGCAAAATCTTCGAAATAGAGCGTGTAGTGGGGTGAATCGCGCGAATCCCAGAACAGAACGGAGCGATGAACCGTTTCTGTAGGATGTAACAACCAGTCAGTAAAGAGGGGAAAAGCAATAGTGGGGGATAATATGCAGCATTCTATAGAGCAGAAATGTAGAAGTGGGGCACGTGCCAACTTCTACTCAAAGAGATGTATGGTGGGGGTATGATCGAGGGTAGGGGAAATATGCATCTTGGAGCGCGATGAACAAAATTTAAGGTAGTCTGTGAGCAGGCGAGTGACTATGCGCTTGCGTGGCCCTCGGAGAGTTCTCTTCCTTTTTTAATTTTCCTTTTTTCCTCTCGTCTGTTTTTGTTCACATTTTCCTTTCCTCTCGTTTCTCTTTTCTTCATCTTTTTCTTCAGAACATCGATTCAATCTCCGAGGGTCTACAATCTTCCCTGCTTTCCTTTCATCCGATTCGACATGTTAAATTGAAATCACCGAGAGCAATTGTTGAGCCAGGCCAAATTTGGAACTGATAATACGAACCTACCTAAATTGGATCAAGAAATACACCGAAGATTCTTAAGTGAAATCAAAATGAAATTCATCGAACTGGCAAAATATTGAAGAATATTCTGATAATAATAGCTGATAATAATCACTGTAAGTACCATGCATTTATAAAAATAACGTTCATACATATTATATTATACGGAAATAAAAAATTACGGAATAAATATTTTTATTAGACAAACATCAATTGATTCGAAATGATATGATGACACTATTCACTGATAAAATACGGCTGAAACATTGTTTGACGGATCGTCAATAATGTCGAAATTGGAAAAGGGAAAGCAAAAATCCTCTTTTATCGAGGATTTGTAAATATATTTATTTGTATATACAAACACGTATACGTAATCTGTATAAAGAGAGAGATGTAGAGTACTGATATTAAAAGTACAACGCTACTCAACATGCTCGGTGAATGAGAATTTCTTTCGAAATTGGCCAGTAGTCGGCGTTGCAGATCACATGTACTACTAATGTATTCAAGAAACAATTATACACAGCCAATAACTTCTACAAATTCTTTATTTTCATAAAAAAGCAAAGATATTTTGGGAGATATATTACACAACAGAAGACATATTAAATAATCAACAAGTTTCATAGCAGTTTCATGTATGTATAATTTATTACAATAGATCTGTTTCTGTTCATACTACCTTCTTAATGGGATGAAGATCATTGAAAACTGTATTATAATCTTCGACTCTGACATTTTATTGGTATTAATCTTTTATTCAATTAAATAATGCAAAACTTTAAAAATGTGACCATTCTGCGATGAATGATTATTGGCATTAATGTAAATATATTTCTATGTAAGTGAATGTTAATTCTAATATTTATTCATAATAATTTATAAATAGTTATAAGTTTTTATAAGTATTTTATTTTAAGATTTTAGAAATTAGAGTTTTAGAAATTAAATTGAAATAATAATAAAATATTTTTCTAAGAAATTTATAGAATTTTCGAAGATTTCAAAACGCCGAGCAGTAATTTATCGTAATTTATTTTTTTAAGATTAACAATGATTTTTCATTTTGAATTTCATTTTAGTTTTTCTTTCTTTTACTTTACTTAAATTATAATAGCAAAAGAAAGAAAATTCTTTTGAAATTAAAATGAAACAAAAACAATTTAACAATCTAGTCAACAAGTGATAAAGATTTAAATATTTAATGCGAGAATCAAAACATATAGATAATCTAGTCTAAAAAAAAAAGAAAAATATAGTCATGATCTAGTCAAAATCGAGTAATATTTATCTAATCATAAAATATATATTATATTCTAGTCATTATTTAATATTCCAATTGGTGCCACGAATCAATTTCGCGACAATTTTTTTAAAATTTTCTTGTGGATTATTACTAAAAATTAAGCTGAAGATAAATTACAAAAAATATATATTTAATTTAATTTCACGTAGCATCAACGAGGCTGTGTACATACTTTCTCGTGTCTTTTTTTGATTCTAATCACACCATAGTCATTGCATTCTAGTCATTGCGTTTTTTTCAAATAATACATAGATATTATAAGTTTCATTTCATATTCCTCAAAGGATATGCAGGCCACATATGAATGCAATTTGGAACTTTTTTCAAATAGTATCTAGTCATATAAACATTTGTTCATATATTTATATATATTTTCTCAAACAAATATGTGTGGATGCGATGCCATAAAAAAGTTAAATTGCAAAAATATAATATACTCGATTTTTATAACTTTAAGAAAATTAAAAATAGTTTAAAAGTTGCAGTATATATGTATATATATTATTTAGTCATATATAGATTAATATAATTTATTGATTAATCTATTTATTTCGGGAAACGTGCCAGTAATTTACATTATCATATAGAATTCATAAGAAAAATTTTTTATTAATGAAATATAATTCCAACTATATAAAACAAATAAAATTTTGGCAATAGTTTATTTCATAATCATTTTTTTAAATCAATATACTACTAATGCGATTGTCGGCAAAAACAAATATTACCTACATACAGTATTGATAATTTTGATATTTTTCTAAACTCGTACAATTTGATGAAAAATTAATTAAATCCATAAAAAAGGTCCTATAAGGCAGCTTTAAAGATAAAATTAGTATATATTTTTCAATAATTTCAAAATAATAAAATTATTAAACACAAATAAATTAAAACAAATCATATATTTTTAGATAAAAATGCGAATTTATAAAAGTATTACGAGGCTGTGTTTAATAAATAAGAAAAATGATATATTAATTAATATAATTTTCATTTTTTCTTTTTTTTTTTTTTTAAGTTAGATATCTTTATTAGTACATTTCGATAATATCCAATCATAAGTATACCGACTGAAGATAATACTTAACATTTAAAATTCACTATAATTTTATTTATTTTGAAATATTATAACGACAAACTAATTTATTATATTACTTATCTGTACAGCGATTATCAAAAAAATTTTATTCAAATTAACATAACTATATTATTATTAAGAGTGGCATCTAGTCAATAAATCTATGGACATTAACTCGAACAGTTAAATCCAGGTATTCAAAAGAAAAATAAAAAAGCAAATTAATTAAATGAACAATGTGTTAATTAATAAAAAAAAAGAAGAAAAATAATTCACATACATTTTGTAAATCTTACAACATATTTTATCGTGTAATTTTTTTTTTATATTCAACTTGGCCAACTTAGTAGAGTATGTATGATCTCAGTCCATGGATAATAAATCTAGTCTACGATATTCTGAAGAAAGCGAAAAAATCAAGATTAAATTCGAAGTATAATTAATAATTAAATATATATATAACTTAACTTTTTAACTTTAAAAATATCTTATCATAATTTAAAATAAAAATCTTCATCATAGTTTATAATTTAATATAAGAAGATATAATTTATAAGTGTCTTATGTATGGTAAATTATATGTTAAAATAGATTTTATAAGATAGTTTATAAAATATTTAATGAACTAAATTTGTAGTATAAAAATTTAGAATGTAAGTAAGGTAATCATACTACTTGTATTTTAGTATATTTTTTATATTAATAATGTATTAATAATAATTTGCTGTGTTGTGTGCTATATGTTTTTTTCGAATATTTATCAAATATCTAATATGATAATATATATCACGATATAATTTTTTTGCATATTTATTATCATTATATTTGCGTGTCGTGTGTGTGTGTATTATTTTTAATATTATATTATATTTATTAATAATTAAAATTGTAATCAATAATTTTGTTCTCAGAAATCATGATTTCAATTAAAATTCATAATATCCATCTTAATAATCATATTTTTGTAATTGGTATAAACAATTTTAATGAAAAATTAATTTTTCCTTGAAATATTCAATTATACCGAATAAAATTTTAAACCTCAAAAGCATATTGATTTATATTTGAGTTATTGTCATTTTTATATTACCTTTCCTTATGTTACATTTTAGGTAAGTATTACAAATAATTTAAAATATATATGTCAAATACTCTATACTAATATTAAATTTTATAAAACTGCATCATACAAAAATATCAATTTTTAAGAAAAATTTTATTATATTTAATTTGTTACTTAAATATAGTATAGTTTTAAAATTATATATTATTGAATTTTTATTTTATTTTATAATCATTCAAAAAATATATATATATATATATCATTATTTATTAAATCACAATATAATCAATACAACAAAAGAATAGAACTCAATAAAATTTATTCTTTTCGAAATAACTTTATTTATTTCGAATTGTTTTGGTTATATGAAAATTGTATATACACATTTTTTCGAATTTAACAAAATAATTTCATAAAATTTAATGCAATTAATAATATAAAAAAATGATAACATTCACAATTACTTTTATAAATAAATTAATGTTTTTTATATTTAATTTCTAAATATTATACAACATTGTATTGAAAAATCAATAAATCAAATTATTTTGATTAGCTTTTCTAATATTGATAAAATAAAAACAAACAAAGTTATAAAGAATTTAATTAATAAATAGTTTTTAGACTTTCTTTTAACATAGAATTGTAAACATTTATTGTATTAAAAGTTTCTTTTTTTACTGGACCATAATTACCACGTTCTTTTTCTTTGGTAATAAATTCTTCAATATTTTTATGCTCTTTCTGCAATTTTTCTACAGTATTTTCCAATGCACTAACTTCAATATATATATCATTATTTTCTAAACGTTGTTTTATTTCATTATATTCTGATTGAATTGTTTTAATCTCTTCCTCATATTTTTCTTGTTCATGTTTCAATTGTTCACATTCTGCTATTAATTGTTCTTGTTTTAGTGTTAATTTAGTTTTCAAAGTATCTAAATCTTCTATAATTATTGATTTATTTTCTTTATCATTCATTTTTTCATTAAATTCAGCAAATTCTGCTTTAAGTTTTTCTTCTAACATTTGCATTTTATTAAAAATTTGCTGCAACTTTAAATTTTCTTTTGTTAATTTTTCAAAATTACAATCCTTGTTAATATATTCATATTCATTGACAGATGGTAAACTATTAAGAATTGCCATTTCATCATTTCCTATAAAATCAATATCAATATTTAACATATTCGAAATATTTTCCAAATATTCAACTATTGTATTCTCTAATTTATGCAATTTTTTAGTTTCATCTTCTTTATTTTGATCAAAAGAACTCATAAATTGCTCTATGGTTTCTTCTCGTTTACGAAGCTCCTTATATTTAATTGTTTTTCAGATTGAGTATCTTCTATATCTGCTTCTAATTGTTCAAGTTTTTGTTCTGTTTCTTGAATTTGTTTCTTTTTCTCAGTCAATTGAGCTTCAGCAGCTGCAATATCCATATTATCTTGCTTAATTTTCTGTAATAATTTTTCTTTTTCTTCTTCTGGTGAAATTCTTTGTTTTTCTTCTTCTTTTAATTTATCTCTTTTTTCTTCCATTTCTATTATTTTAAGATGTAATTTAACTGCTTCCTGTTTCAAAGGAGATAATGTTATTTCTTCTTCTAAATAAACTTGTTCTTTGTATAATTCATCCAATTTTTGTTGCAGTTCATTTGCTTTTTCTTCCACTCTTATTTTTTCTTTTAATAATTCTTCATATTTTTTTTTTGTATCAAAATCCATACTGTCTATAAGTCGTTCTGTTCTTTTCTTTTCATCTTCTAACTGTTTTTGTATTTTTGTTAGCTTTTGTTCTAATTGTTTTCTTTCTTCAAACATATTTTCAATTCTTGATAAAATTTCTTCATTTTTTCTAGCAAGTTTTTCAGTTTCTTCTTCAATGATTTCTTTTCCAATATCAGATGTCATTTTATCTACAATGATATTATAGTCAGCTAGCTGCCCTTGCAAAGCTGTTAATTCCATAGCCAAATCTTTGGCTCTCTTATCATAATGCAGATAAGTAGCTCTTTCTTTATTTTGATCTTCAATATCTTTCATAATAACAGCAATTTCTTGATTTAATTCTCTAATTTTTAATTGCATAAGTCCATTGTAATATCTTTTATCTTGAATTTGCCTAAAAATAGAAAATTTTACATTTTTATTAAAAAATAATAAAAGAAAAAATTAATATTATCATAATAATATTGATATATTTTAATTTAATTAGATTAAATAATTAACTTTAAAAAAAGTATTATTAAATATAAAAGAAGAAATTTATACCTAGTCATTGACAAATTTCTACCGGTTCCAGGTCTAAGACCTGCCACTCCATGTTGAGTGATTGGCCTTTCCAAAATATTTATATTCATTTGACCAGACAAGGGAAATGCAATATTATGCGCTCCAGAATTACTTGAATTAATTGTATTTAGATGTGAATTACCAGTTGATATTTGATTGAGTGCAGCAAAGGATGATGGTGGTCTTGCCAATACATTTTGACCAGGTGTGCCTGGACGAGTATTCCCAGAAAACTCTACTGATTCATTCTTTGTTCCTTTGTAAAACCTTTCAAATTTATTTTGTAATACAGCAGTACTAGTTTGTGGTCTTTGCATTATATTGATCTATTTAAAATACTTTTTGTCTTTATTGAAAATATTTTTGGTATGAACTAATAGTTTGTAGATATTTAATTAGTTGATGTTGTTCAGTTAAAGTACATTATGATCCGTTTGTTTTCTACTTGGTTGTCATAGGAACCAATTCATAGAATCTATATAATTCCAAATTAATTTACTTATAAAATTTATTTATAATTTATATATAATTATACGAAAAAAATATAATTTTAAATGATATTATAAAATTACATTATAAAGAGAACTTTATAATAAAAAATGTAAAAAATCAAGACACAGAACAGACTTAACTTTATGTCCAATGAAAAAGTTTAAAATATCAATTGCGCAAAAAATCAAAATACTTGATATATTCTCTACGATTTACAACGATGAATTATATTCAATCACAAAAATTATTGAAATAATTTTTTTAACATATCCTTTTATAAATATTCTTATATATTATATTAGGATTATATCTATAAATATTTCGACTTCTATAAAAAGTAAACAAACTCATGTTGAATCGAATTGAATTATTCATAAATTAAAGATTTTGTTTATATTTTTTTTATAAAATAAAATAATATAATAGATTTGATTTTTTTCATAAAAATTTAATAATATTAATAATATTTAACACTTATTAATAAATTTAATAATATTAAACTTTAATTA